TGAATCGTACTCTGCCACAACGTAAAGTTTGTTTTCCCATCAAAGAGTGGAATCTCGAACATCTTCGGCACTCCTGTTGCCATCACTCCAACACGAGATCTTTAAAGCACACTCTACCCGTATCTCTACCTCCGTGAACCTTAGCTCTGATACCACTGTTGGGGAATTGACGCGAGTCTCGAACTCTTTCCCCGATTCACAAAACCAAACTCTTGTACACTCACACACACTCAATAATACAAAGACACGACTTTAGAAAAAGACTTTGTATTATATAGAGAATGTTGAAACACGGGCTTGTCACGTTTTTGTACTAAAGCCGTGTTCGTTTTTGTTACAGGTTTTGATAATGCCAAACCGCTGTAAGCAAGACAAATATTGAATATACAAGGCGAAGAACGAAGATAAGGAACAAGAGCTGAAAGAGACCAAGAACGAAGACCGAAGCCTTTAGATTTGTTGAGTCGGTCATAATTGTAATCAAGACCGACCCAACCCTCACGCATTGGCTCTTTAGGCTAAAACCTCTCATTGCATTTCCTTTTTCATAAAAATGTTTTTCAAACTTTTTTAAGTCTTTAAAAACACTTGGTGTTCGCCCAAACCAAAAACCAAGCCATCCGGCGTTCGGGTTTCAGAAACCGACATTCGGCTCTCGGTTATCGGCTATGGTTTTTGGCATCCGAACCAACAAATGGTTTTCAACTTTTTATGATTGGTTTTTACTCTTTGGCATGTTTAAACGGTTCTCCAACAAAAACACCTCGAAAAACCATCTTTTGCTTTTGGTCATTTGACAAAAATCATTCAAAACGGCATAAATTTGACTAGCCGTGTTTTTCACTCAAATGACGTGGTTTTTAAAGTGTCTTACTTGAATTCTTAGTCAAATACATCAAATAAGTGTTTTAAACACTTGGTTTTTATTTTGGAGAACTTTGAATTTTTCGGTCGGTTTTCGCATCGGTTGGTTAGGCCGTGGTTAAGGCAAAACCATGGGTTCCTGACTAAACCACCTACCCAGCGATGGGAAGATCTTCCCATCGATGGGTAAGCGGCCCCTCAGCCAAATCAGTTTCCAGAACCATGCCAAACAGCGATGGGGAGTTCCACCCATCGCTGTTAAAGCCCTGGTGCAAAATTATCACGAGGCAGAACAACCTTGCCTAGCGATGGGAGACCTATCCCATCGATGGGAACCCAGCGATGGTAAGGGTAAACCATCGATGGGAAGGCATGACCGTTGGTGGTCATTAAAGGTTGATTCTTTCCTTGTTTGGAAGTCAACCTCCCACCCAGCGATGGGAAGCTTGTACCCATCGATGGGTAGGTGACCGTTGACTTCAAAACTGAAGAAAAATTGGCCTACCAGCGATGGTTAAGTCCTAAACATCGATGGGAAGCCAATATTCTGCAGATCCCAAATCTTTTCAATCCCATAAATCAAGCTAATCACCCTTTAATGCATTGGTCCGTTGGAGCCTAATTTTGCACTATAAAAAGGGGCATTTGGGTCTGCTTTTCTCACCAATTCACTTCACAACATCTATACTTTCATTGCACTCAAATATCATCATTTTCCATAGCTTTCTAGAGCCATTTGTGTGTGAAGGTTGAGTTGTTCTTGAGCGTACTTAGTCTACTCATAATCTACTCTATAAGAGAGTCTCGTTCTTGAGTGTACTTGTATTCTTAGACACGTTGAGAGATAGTATCTCTCTCGGTTGATTCAAAGGAAGGTCTGTTTCCTTTGAAGGATTCTTTGAGGTTCGTGTGACTCGAACTCTCAAGTTGTAACGGTTTGTTGAGCACCCGTAAGCTTAACGAGATAGTAGTGTAGCTCGAGAGAGTCTCTCGGGAGGCTGGATTAGCCACAAGTTGTGGTGAACCAGGGTAAAATTCGGTGTGCCTTTTACTCTTCTCTTCACTTCTCTTTTAATTTTTAAATTCCTGCGATTTCTCCGATCAAACGCTATTCACCCCCCCCTCTAGCGTTGGTCTATTATTCTAACAGAGAAATGTACAAGATTACAATTACACGGGTAGCACACTTCACTCTTTGTATTAGGAACACCTCACTCACAAGCACTCTCAAGAAGCCTTCTTGGTTCTTCACTCTCTTCTTCCTCCACACTCCTTGCCAAATGAGGCATCCATACTCCTATTTATACTCCTCACCAAGGCTAGGCTTCTCTAGAATGTTCCACACATCTCTTTATCTCTAGAATCTTCTAGAAAGTCTCCACATGCTTCCATAATGTTCTAGAAGAATCTAGAGGACTCCACATAGTTCTAGAATATTCTAGAGAATACTACATTCTTCCACACGCTTCTAGAGACTTCCACACTTCTCTAGAAAGCTCTAGAATATTCTAGAAACTTTTAGACTATTCTACACATTTCTAGAGATTTCTACACTTCTCTAGAAAATTCTACAACATTCTAGAGAATTCTACACATCTCCACCAACTTATAGAATTCTCTAGAATCTCCCCTTTCACAAACCTTTGGAAATATTGAATTAATATCCTAACAATACTTCAATGCTTTTATATGGACAAGAGATAAATAGGGAGTACTAAAGATTGGTGAAGATTATTAGGGCTGGCGAGCATGGTTGTTTATATAGTGTAACATTTTATACTCCCTAATAGTTTCTCCTACATCCTAGTACTTTTTAAAAATAGCAGTTGGATCCCTTACTATTTACAAGTTACTCCTACATCCTTGTACTTTTTAAAAAAATAGCATTTCGACCCATTTCATTTGCGAGTTACTCCCTCTATTTCAAAATATGTGTCGAGTTTTGATTTTTCGTATTCAATCAAAGTCAGCCTTGGACCAATAGTCAAATAAAAATTATATGGTATGTTAATTAGATAAAATATTATTTTGATAATACTCTACAAGATAATTTTAAGAAATTATTTTTGTATCAATTTTTTTTTTAAAATTTAAGGTACAAAATTTTAATTTTGACGGCATAAAGTCAAATCTGGACAAATACTAGCTATTTATGAGTTACTAAACTGTAGTTCACTACTCTGTGCACTTTTAGACGCTGCTAAAACCGCAGCGGCCTCTCGCATCAAACCATTGAGAGAACCAAGGCACCTCGCGTTCAATAACGGCGAGTATGCGTAAGACAAAGAACGGCACATCCGAAAAAGATTACTAAAATCTTCCAGTGTATAAACGCACGAAGTATTGAAGTAGTCGTTGAGTAGTGCTTCGTGTGTAGCCGCCAGTAATGGCTTAAACGCTCACGTTGGGTCGAGCGCTAGGACGATTCCGCTTCCTCTTGTTGTGCTTTTTGCCACCATCGGTAACATCTCGTCGCAGAATAACCAAAAATGAGAGCTCTTCTTTCATTATCAGTTGAAGATGATCTCATTTTTTAGGTATTTTGTAGAGAGAATTTAAAGAAATAGAATATTTTTTTGGATGAATTATAGAGAGAATTAAAATATGTTGTGTGTGTTCTTTTAAAATAAGGGGGTATTTATAGTTGAAGAAATAAAAAAATTAAATTTGGCCAATGGTCTAATTTTAGGGTGGAGGGGGGCAACGGTCAGCATGCTACTTCACTCTGCGTAAAAGACTTGACGTAAATGGTTTTACGCCAGTATAGCGATGTAAGGAGGCGGTGTTTACCGCCTTTAAATGAAGCTCTCGGTGTCACATCCATTTTCAGTGCCCTAAAAACACAGTCAAAATTAAGTAATGGCCGGGATTATATTGTAAAATTTGTGCCAATTGAGCGGCCAATGGAGGGTAATATGTTTTCCGGAGTAACACCTTTTTACTGCCTGTTAAATTGTAATACTGCTTTTTCATTTGTTTATTGTCGGTGAAGGCAACAACTCAATATACTCTCGTACATTGAAATGCAAAGGATGGAAAGCAATTCAAAACAAGTTTTCACAAAAATGTGCCAAACAAAAATTTGGGTAGCAGGCCATATTGAAAGAAAGTTTTCACAAAAATGTGCCAAACAAAAACTTGGGTAGGCGAATGTTTTATCAAAAAAGGGGGAGGACCCCTCAGACCAGGCCGAACGATCTTTGAGAATATTATGATCGCAGATTGGTGATAAAGAGTGCAGTTTGCACCTGACACTTGCAGAGGCTTTATACTTAGAATTGTTGCCTCCCAACGCAGTTGCCAGAAATCGAACTTCAGTCTTATTCTTTTGACATTCCTTGTCCTACCAATTGCACAACGCCCATTGGCAAGCAATTGCTTTATCACAGTGAGGCATGGATGTCACAGAGTTTACTATTTGTGGATGCTTTTCCACCAATAATTAGTGTTTGTGTTATATACTATCTCGGTCCCTATATCATTTACACTTTACACAAAACAAAATAAAATATTTAGTTTTTTGAGTTCATATTAGAGTTATTAAGGGGATGTTTCTCTGAACTGGTGTTTATTGGCTTATTACTAATAAATATTTTTTTAGTTATAAGCTGCTTATAAGTCTAATATTCTTTCGCGGAAATAAAATGACTTTAATGATATATAAATCATTTGTAAATATTTATAAATAGTGAGGAACTGTTTTGTAAATAATCTGCTCAAAACGGAGAAACGAAAAAACTGACTTAAAAATAAGTGGCTAAGGCCTACTTATTTTTGCTTGCTTATAAACATTTTATAAATCAGTTTATAAGCACACTGAAACATGACATCAGTTGACTTATAAGTTAAAACTAAAACTCACCTAATTAAGGAGTCACCTTGTGTGTATTAAATAAATGCTAGTCATATTTTTTTTAAAAAAAACGAACCTCTTTATTTTTCTTATTTTCCGAGTACTCCATAATTAAAAATGATCATACTTAATAATAGTACTCCAAGGTTAGGTATCGTTTTACTTTTTTAAAATATAATTTTAATTTTAGAAATTTAAATATTTCGATAATCCATTACTTGTAGAGTATTATTTTTTTCTGGAAGATACTACGAATGTTATGAGTTGTTATGTTTTTAAAATACTGACAGACAAGAGCGTATTGTTTTAATTTTAACAAACTAATTTTAGAAGTCATATTAATTTTGGAAGCCACGTAAGAGTGATATTATTTCAAATACTTTTTTCCCTTTAAAATGTTACTCTGTATTTTTATTAGACCATTACTGATACTAATTTAGATATTTTCAATAATATAAATTAATTTAAATAATGTTGCTAAATTCACCTTCATTCTGACTAAATCTAATCCATTATATTTATGGTGAAATACACAACTTTGCCCTTAAAGACACATAAAGATTTTTATTAAGGGATATTATCATATCCATCTTATTTTATATTTATTGTACTACGGGTATAAACTTACGCAATTTGGTAACTTGATGTACTATATATATATACTACATTTTTAGATGAACTCGCTTTACATATAATACGGAGTAATATAAAATGGAAACAAAAAAAATTAATAGGACCAGAAATCCGTCCAAAGTCAGAACGGACGTACGGTTCCGACACCAATACTTCTGGGGATGGGTCACGGACTCACGGCTACAGGGTGTAGGTGAACTTTGTGGTGGCATTTGTTACTCCGTACTTCCTCATAATTTTAGTCCATTATTACAAATATAGTGGTGGGTATCCACTACTTTGCACATCATTTACTATATAGTGTATACTCCATTGGTCTCAATTTTGCTTACAATTAAGACTTACAAAGCAAGATTTTATATTTTTTAAAATTATTTTATTAATAAATTGGTACATTAAGAAAAAAAATTACGGAGTATATTATTAGGAAATATAATTAAATTAGGATACTACTTTCCTTTCCTACTAGGATTACTCTTTCCTTTCCTACTTGTACTTTGATTACTCTTGTATTCCCTATATATAGGACCATATCCCTCAATATTCAATAAGACAAGTTATTATCAAATTGTATCATGGTATCAGAGCTAAGGCTCTCAAAACCCTAGCCCTTTTTTTTTCCGACCGCCGCCCACCATGGCAGCCCGTCGGATCCTTTAGCCTCTTTACCCTCTGGAGTAAAACTTTTGCTCCGGAGTCTCCACAACTTAATCCCAGAAAAACTCACCGAAACAAATTATCCGGCATGATCTCTCAATGTCGAGACAGCTCTTTCAGCTAATCTACTCCTTGGATGGATTGATGGTCATGAAGCAGCCCCGGCGCCGACTATCTCCAAAAACGATAAAACCGTCCCTAATCCAGAGTATACCTCTTGGAGCATCGTTGACACACAGATCCGCGCCTGCCTCCTAGCAGTCATCAGTCCATCCGTTCACAAACATGCTCGCGGCTTCACCACATCTGCTGCCCTTTGGGATGCTTTGGCCGCACGGTACAATTCCGTGTCCACCGCTCATA